GCGGCGCCCGACGACTACCGGGGGCCCCGTTCCCGACTTCGGGCCGACCTTCCCCGGCAGCGGGCGGAAAGGCGGCGCCCCCGCTCCACACGGGCGGGTCTGCGACTGAGCAGCCCACGCAGGGGCTCCCTCTGGGGGGGCGCCGCGGCTGGGCGCGGAGGGCTCAGCCCGCGGCGGGAGGAGACGCCCGCTCAGTCGGCGGTGTTGTACTCACGCTGGCTTCATGGCAGCAGGCTCCGTGACGCCCCGACGCGCGCGCGGGACGCCGGGCCGACCGGACGGGCAGGCGGTGACCGACGGCCCTGCGCAGGGACGAGACGTGGGGTCCCGGACCAGGCGAGCCCTGCTCCGCGCTCCAGCAACTCAGGCGCCGCAGCTGAAAGCCCAGGTGAGCTCGCGCCAGGCGCATTTCAAACGGGCCAATCAGTGCCCGCCCGCGGGGAAGAGGCGGGGCCTCGGAGGAAGTGACGACCTGCCGGAAGCGGGGCCCGTCTCCTAGGCGACTGACGCGGAAAGAGTGGAAGGAATCTGGCTGGCTGGGCTCCTGGGTGGGAGAGTGGACCTCAGCTCCCAGTGAAATATAACCCCTGAAGGATTACTTTCCTACATCACAAGAAGGCCAGTGGAAGGACAAGTTCAGAGTTGATTCAGCTATGGCGTGTCCTGTCCTTGTGCTGTGCTTCGCGCAGCCTCAGAAGCCCTCCTTGACTTCCCTATCACTACTTCCTCTCTATTCTAAATCTTTTCTGGATTCCCCCTCTGGTTACGCCAGGTGTTTCCTATTCATAGACTGTTTTATCAAATTCTTAATCCATAGGCTGGTCCTGGATACTCAGAAAAGGAAAAAACTCAGTGCTTGCCCTTAACCAACACCCAGAACTGATTCTGACACCAGCCCTTGCCCCTAAACTGATGAATATCAAATAGGCATCTACCTCTGTGCACTCTTGGAATTCTAGCCCTGGCTCCTCAACTTTGTGCACTAGTAAGATTAGACACAAGGACAGACAATTTAATTTCGTTGACCAATACTGTTTGACATAAAGATAGTTTTGATTATGCTATTAAAAAAATTACAGTGAATAAACTTAGAAATACATAATTTAACATAATGCAAGTCAATCTGTAGGAGAAATTCCTAGAAGCAGAACTGCTGTGTCAGAGAATATTCTTGTGTAATGTTTCACTGCCAAATTCTTTCATACAGGTTATCAAATATATGCACCCACCAGTTATGTATGAAAGGGCCCATTTCTCCACAATTCTCAGACAACAAAGTGTTATCACATTTAATGTATCACACTTAATGTAGTAAGTGAAAAGGGATCACATTGTGACCTAAGTTTTCATTTATATAACATGATGAATGAAGTTGGGTGCCTGTTCATATAAGAACTATTTGTGTTTCCTTCTCTGAGAGCTGTGTTCATATTCTTTGCCTCATTGTTCTTTTGGGTTTTTGTTCTTAGCTTGTAAAAGCTCATCTATACTAAGGAAACTTGTCCTCATTCAGAATATGTTAACATGTTTTATAATCATTTTTCAAAGAAAGGACATAGAAAGGTGTACTGTTTTTACATTTCTGCAAATATTGTTTAATGTCTGACTTAAAAAATAACTAGCTGATTTCTTGTATCTATGTCTGCATTGTCTGTTACCACAATATAGCATGTGGTCTCTAAAAAGCTCAACTACACAGAATGAGAGTGCAAAGGTAAAGAAGGTCTTAGTAGTATACTATAAGTTTTTACCTGAGATTTTCCTAAAAGGGAATTGAAGGTTTCCAGGGTTCCACTGACAACAGTTCAAATATTTTTATAGTTTATATTTTGGCTTTCATTTTGTTTATGTTGTTTTGTGACAATTTAGGAAAATATAAGGTAGCCAAATATATCAGTGTCTTCTTTTATGGCTGGTTTGTGTCATACTAGGAATATACTAGAAAACATTTGCCCCATTCTAATTTTTTTTTTTTGTCTTTTATTGGGTTGCAAAAAAGTTATGACATACTTTTTCTGTTTTCTAAGCAAAAGTGTATCATAACTTTTCCAACAACCCCATATATTTCCCTAGTACTTTACTGCTTTGTTTTTTATGCATAAGTATTTAAGCTATTAGAACTTTATTTACTTACAATCTTCAACACCTTTCCACTTCTCTCCACCCCCTTCATTAGTGATGCAACAGATCCAGGACTATATTTCTCATAATGAGTGTGCATGTTAGCAGTGCCATAGTTAAGACATAACCAGATCAAGTGGGAAACAGAACAACTTTATTATAATAAATAAATTTTTTTCTGCATAGTTTAAGGAAATCAGATAGTATAAGTTCAAAGAACACCTCTGAATTTGGAAATGGTTCTTTACCTGTTCAGCCATAATGGACTGCTGACTAGAAAATCAGCAGGCCAATAGCAGAGGCTTACATTCAGCTCATGAGTTTCAAAGTGCTGTCATACAGTGTTAGTGGGTGTTGCATGTAAAAAAGGGTCCCATGCCAAAACAAAGTTGGGACACATTAGATTCAAGTGAAAGGCTCCCCAACATATCTATCACCACCATTCTCTACCTGCCTTTCTCGGAACAACTCACTGGCAGGTTCCACACAAAATATTTAAGAAAGATTGCAGCAGACCAAATATTTAAGTCAATTTGTACTCAAAAGGCTTCAGAAGCACCACTAGTAATTCTAATCAATAATTACAAATTCCTTTCTTTAGAAAGAAGATGGAAAGTTACTCTAAAAACCAAGTAATGGACAGTGAAACTATGATTGGAGATAGAGATGACCGGGAGGCTCTTTCAAACACACTCGAGTGTTATCACCATTATAGTGTCTGATAAATTTTAGAGAAGTGTTTCTCAGGTAGGGGTAAGGGGAAGAAGTCCATTTGGTTAAGATTGTGCCCAGTCCCTTGTGAGGCAGTGCCATCTTACCAGTTGTATCCACCCAGATGGTCACATCTCTTAAGTGCATTGAGACATTTGAAACTCTTTTGAGACTTGCTACAGTAAAAGACATCTTTCCAGTGAGGACTTCAACTGACCCATGGCAAGCTTTTTGAGTGTCCGGATGGTCTGAGCAGAACTATATCCAAGTAAGACTTGACATGTCATGATAATTAATATATTTGAATACATCCTCACTCCCTATTAGATGCTTCCAAATAGGTATATTACCAATTGTTATTTTAATTTGTAACACTGTCCACAAGTCTACCAAACATTATGAAACAATTGAAACATTGTGTTGACTTAACTTCTCATTTTCATCTTTAAGCATGATGAAAAAACAATATAAACAAAGATTAAAAATCTAAAAGTCCTTCAAATGAATCACCCTTTATCTTTTAACTATTTCTAAGTTAAATTAAAAATATTATTTTACTCTCTCTAAATAAGAGAAGTAAAAACCTTCATGTCCTTGATGCTTCTAGAATAAGATGTTTACGCGTTAACACCTTTTTCATCATAACATCAAGATGACATGGAAATCCACAGACCCTTCTGGCATAGAATTCCACTAACCATATTGAGTGATTGCAAAAAAAAGAAAAAAAAAGTTATCACACAGCTTGCAATTAATGCACCAAATTTGCCAGTCCATGTAATTTTATAAGTCTGCCACCCTCCAGAGGAAGTAGGTAATGAAACTAATGAAATAATAATTCTTCACCATTCTCATCCCTGATCCAACATAAATTGTTACTTGTCCTCAGAGAATTAGATGTGAGCTATTTCAAGGCCATTTAAAAGTCTGGGCCAGTTAACCCTGGAGGTGGGACTCTTAAGTTATAGGGGTAGCCCTGAGTCAGCAAAAAGGATTCTGCTGTTGTGACGGAGGCCTGTTAAGTCTTCAGCAAGTACAGATCAGGGGTTGCTAGGCCTCTGTTAAAAATTGTTTTGCATCAGCATTTCTGAACCCTTACAAACATAAAATACTGAAGTATAATTAGTAATGCAACATGAGAGAAAATGCTGTGCTTTTGTAGCACTCAGAGTGGAAAGCCGGGGACCCCTTCCTCTTGTGGTGAGTTGCTAAATTTAGACCAGAATAGGCCCAGTGTCTTCTGGAATCTTGCCACCAGCATTTCCTCTAGTGTGACCTGTGGCCCTCCTGAATCCAGATCACCTGGGGACTTGCTCTAGAGGGGCTCTTCTCCAGGAAACTACTACTCAAATTAGTGAAGCAGAATCTGCTAGCATCCTCAGGGAGTCTGCCCTCCTTGCAAACTCATCAGCTGTTTCTGATTCACCATAAAGCCTGAGAATCACGTCTCACCTACCCTTTGGCAAAGTCTCTAGCTTTCTCAGCACATGGAAGATGAACACTAAATTTTGCTCCCTCTTTGAAATGCTGAAGCAGCATCAAGTATATGCCATCCCCCAAATACAGCCCTGTCATTGATTGAAAGGTGAACTCAGTCAGCTCCGGTCATGAAAACAATTTGTCTGCATTGCATAATACTGTGTGATATCAAACAAGAATGCCATAGGAAAGTGGAATAAACTTATGGGGAAAGAACAGATTCCAGCATCTGGAAAGCTTTTCCAATCCCTCCAACTCCCACAGACCCAACCTCCTTCTCCTCAGCTCCCTACTGACCTTTCCAGATGCTTTCCTTCCCAAAGTCATTGACAGGCCACTGGGGGAGCTCTTGAAGAGGCTTTGCATGGAATAAAGCAAGTTCCATTTTAAAAGATTAATACTACCTGAGCAATAAAGCTTAATCCAACTGTTCAGTGATAAAGCTACAAGTTTAATATGCTTAATCTAACCATTTAAATGGAACTGAATCCGCTTTAAATAAATATCAGACCTAATGAAATATTCATGATTGGCCCAAATAAGTACTTTCTTCAACCCGTCTGTGATTTAAAAACCACAAATATAGAATCAGTGCACATCTAGAGAGATTTCTCCAGTTAAATACCTTTTTGACATGAACCCACTCAAAAATGCCAAGACACCAAACCACAGCCATATCAGGCTGTCAAAAAAGGGCATCACTGCCAATCACGGTGGTTAGAGTGTCGCCGGTGAGTGTGGGCACTGGGTACGGAAAGTTTCCAGTGTGGATCATGTTTCTTTCTTATGTAATTCTGGCTCAGGAATCCGATACAGAGCAGCTGAGAAATACATTATGTTGCTGAGGCTGAAGACGATGCATAGAAGCATGGCTCCAGAGATCTGAGAGAAGGTCAGGGGCCGGGAGGTGGCCAGGAGCCACTCCTTCCTCAGAGTCTTGTCCAGAAGTATGGCCTCCATCTGCATGTGCGTGGCCATGATCACACATATGTGGAACAACTGGTGACTGTGACCTGTAGCACACACAGAAGACGATCAGCACTGAGCAGAAGATGTGAAACCTGCGATGGCATGTCCCTGAAAGCACCATGCAGAGGCCAGACACGAAAGGGCAAGAAGATAAGTCTGGGGTGATGGGAGGTAGCCCCAGTGGTGGCTTCAGACGGGGGTGGGAATGGGGACGAACAAGAGGGATGAAAATGTTCTTAAACTGATGGATGGTGATGCTGGTCCAACTTGGCCCAAGTGAGTGAATTGACTGAGAAGGTCACTGAAACTGGGGAATGATGTGGTACATAAAATGAGCTTCCATACATTGACTTTTTAATTAATGTGATATAAGAACCAGAGACATTCTGTGGGGGCAGGGAGGGGAACAGGGTCAAAACTGGCTGTCCTGCCTTCTGCAAGAAAAGGTCCAGCAGCACATGTTGCCCGAGGTCCACTCCCCAGAGCCACACTGCTCTGCTCAGAGTCTCACTTCAACGCCTAAGGAGAAGCCACATTTTTCTGGTGCTTCTCTCCCACTATTGAGTAATCTCAGACATATCAGGAACTCCTCCTCCCCTACATGACCCTGGCCCAACAGTCATGCTGGAAAGTCCAGGAGCGGTGGTAGAAGTGGGCAGGACATGTTGACTTGGTGGCTGGTGACAAAAGGGTCAGGGACCTCTCTGGGACAGTCCTAAGGAGCCAGGATCAAGATGAGAAAACACATCTCGTGGATTGAATTGTGCCCTCCCCCCACCTCCACCAAATGCATATGCTGAAGCCTAACCCTCAACACCTCAGGTGAGCATGCTGAGGCGGGCCTCTGCAATGCTGTCCATGTAAGAGGCGAGGACATAAGCATGCATACGCAGAGCACCAAGGTGTGGAGATGCACAGCAAGGTGGCCACCTGCAGGCCCAGGAGTCGGAGCTTAGGAGGAACCCGGTTGACACCTCAGTGTTGAACTTTAACCCTCAGAAATGGGAGAAAGTAAACTCTGTTGCTTAAGCCACTGCACCTGGAGCTTTGTTAAGGCCCTAGTCTCAGCAAGCGAACACAACCAAGAGTGAAACAGGATTTCCCTTTGCTTAGCTCCCTTTGAAGAGTTCAGAGTTTATCCCGCTGTCTCCCAGCGATTGTTCTATAACTGTGTCCCAGGAAGGAAGCTGAGCGGGAGCAGTCAGGAAGAAGCGTGTAGGTAGCCGAGGCTTGTCAAGTGGGGGCCCCTGGGTTTCTCATGGCAGGTGGGTGCCAGCCTCCATCTGCATGCCCAGGAACTGGGTGTATCTGCTGGCGCAGCCCTTCCTCACTCAGCCCTTACTAATGGGCTGTGTCTGATGGCCAAACCTGGGTGTGAAGCAGCAAAGTGGCTTCTTGCCCAGCAGAGAGCGGTTACTGGCTGCAGTTGCCAAAGGAGCCTCACAGCTGTCTCCATGCAGATGGGAGATAACAGGAAGGGCAGAGACCATCGGCACTGACGAGCTACAGGCGGCTGCCATGGGCCCATGCTGCCCCCCAACCCCGACCCCAGGCCCCTGCACTGGCATTTCCACACATGTGGGCTGGTGTCCACGAGGAGACTCGGCGATGAACTTCCAAGCCCCTCGATGATAATCTGGTATTAACCGCTGCTGGGCACATACCCCCCTCCTGCCCCCCACAAGTGTGTTTTCTGCTCAGTAACCTGTGGCTCAAGATGATGGGGTAGAGGCAAATCAATAAAATGCCCCTGAGAAGCCAGGGAGTTGGCAAAAGACTTGAGACACCACCACCCCTACTTCAGGGAGGTGGGAACTGGAGGCGAAGCAGAGGGCAGATTCCGGTGTTCTGGCCTTTCCTCTCACCCCTTTCTTGAAATCTGCCCATCCAAGCATTTGGCTCGTCTCCACCCCTTCTAGCAGGAGAGAATAAGCAAGGAGGTAAAACTAACAGATCAAACCCAGCCAGTGCCTCAGCTGAGAGGAAATGAACGAAACAGGTCAGGGAGAGCCATACACCCTGCTCACTGGGTGGGAGCCGACTGGCCCCTGGATTCTCCTGATGGCAGGTCCAGTGGCCCAAGGAGCAGTGAGCCAAGCTCCCCTCCCCGAGCCCAGCCCGAGCCAGGATGGGGCAACGTGTCCTGGCATGTTCCCAGATGCAGCGGAGGCAGTTCCTGACTCCTGGCCTGTCGCCCTCACACGAGCAGGACACCCCTGCCGTCAGGTGGCCTGCACCTGTGCCCTTTCCGCCCTCCTCCTCTCCATGTCTGTCCTCGTGTTCACTTAAACATGGGATTTCACATTCAGTAAAAATGGCACACCAGAGACCTGCTCTAGAATCCCAGCCCCACCTGCTCACCATGCTCCCTCCTGCACCCCACCTGGCAGGTCACCGGCTCTACACATCCTGGCCTTGGTCAGCTGGCAATTTTGCTCAGCCTGGCTCGTGCCTAGAAAAAGCCCTGAGCAGCTGCTGTCTCCCTGCCTCTACCCCGCTGCTCCTCTTTGCCGCTGTATGCACTGGTGTGAAGGGCCAGAATCTTCCCAAGAAGAAGGGCATCCAGGCAGCCAGCCAGCAAACGCTCACCGATGTAGTCGAAGCATCCGGGAGCCAGGCGTTCGGGCAGGTGTGCAGAGTAGAAGAAAGAGGCCAGGAGGGTCATGGCCATGTGCTTCTGATGGTACAGGGTGGCTTCGCTCTGTGCATTCTCCTCTGGGAACATGAACAGCTGCCGGGAGAGAAATGTCAGGTGTCGAGAGGAGGCTCTCTTCCTTCTACTCACCTGCTGATGGCCCGCATGCCAGGTGTGTGACTTGGAAAGGGGACACTCAGGGAAGAGTCATCAGTCCAAACCCAAGGCAGTGGCATGTTAAGCCCCCTCCTTGCCCCACCCCACCCCACCCCCACAGGATCTTAGGAAGCTCTTACAAAAAAAAAAAAAAAAAAAAAAACCAGCGAAGGCTGTAAGGAAAGCGAAAGAAAAACCCAATTAGGTACGTTACCACTTTTCTCTGGGGGTGGGGGACAGGCAAGCAGAGTGAAAAGCGGTGTGTTTATACTCTGACTCACCTCTAATCTGCCCAGCCACTGAACCGATGCCCCTAATTATGGTGCTGAGGCCTAGAAATCCCCAGACAGCCTTTTTTCCTGGAAGACCCTTTGAGTCATCAGAAAGCATCAATTACAGCCCTTACACTAGTCAAGCCCAGTTTCTGTCTCCCTGGGACAAAAGGCCACAGCCCCACTCACTGGGCACAGGCTGGTCTCACCAGAGCCTCAGCAATTCTCATAGCAAACTGTTTCCTCACTGCGCACATGCGGGAACTGGGTCGGGGATGCCACGCAAGCCACCAGTTAGTGGAGAAGGCAGGCTCTGAGTGCAGGCAGCCGACTCTGGGGTCACCATCACCGCACAGGTCCCACAGCGCCCGCCTGGGAGCCCACGCAGCTGACCTGATGGCGTGTGACTTGCCCCCTCTGCTCTGGTCTCCTGTGTGTGGTTCATGTCATTGAGAAAGAAATGGGGAGAATGGGCACAACTCCCCCAGACCCTCACAGAGAATGTAAGCACACGCTCAGTGCCCTCACCGTGGCCCACATCTGCCCCATGCCTCAGACCCAGAAGAGGGCCCCACTCACTGGCAACTGGCATCACTAAGTCCACCTCACCTGGTTTTAATCAAACCCTTCTCTACCCCATGAAGGAAGAGTTTGCACCATTGGCAATAGAAAAAAACAAAGCTCAGAGAGGTTCCAAGCACCGCCTAAGGTCACAGAGTCAATGAGAAGTGGGCTGGGATTTGAGAGATTTTGCCCCTTCTGTCTTCCCTCCTCCACCTAATTCCCATCTCTCTTCCTTCATGCTTTTCCCTTCAATAGTAATAATATGTTAATTGATGGTAATACATAATAATTGGGCTGATCAGACTCATCATCAGCCAGTACATTATACATTATTCTCATGTGTCCTCCTGCCAGCCTAACAAAGGGGTTATTACCATGCTTCTTTCAAAGATGAATGGAACTGGACACCCCTGGTGTCTCAAGGAGTTAAGTCTCAGCACTATGAAGCAATCTGTAGCCACTGCAGCACAAGTTCGATCCCCAGCCAGGGAGCTGACCCACATGGTGCGGCAGACCTCCCCTGACCCGCCCACTGCTCCCCTCAGCAGTGTATTTCAGTCTACTTGTTCTGCTCCCCACTCTGTCTCTGGCGAATCCTCTCGCCCCCTGCACCTCTGACCTACACCCCAGTTCTTATATGCATAAATACATAAATCATAAAAAAAATAATAAAGATAAGGGGAATCAGGGCATAGAGATAGCAGCTAATCTGTCCAAAGACTTGTAGCAACTACATATTAGAGATCTGCCGCCGAGCCCTCTCTCCCGATCAGTCTCCCAAACCCTGGGCTGCCTCCCCTGCCCAGCCGTCCAAGGTGGCCCCGAGCCTCCACCAGCACTGGCAGTGGTGCATCCCCTGTGCCTCATCAGAGCCGGTGTTCACACCACCCAAACACTCTGCAAGTGCAGAGTGAGGCGCGGGCCACATGCTGTGGCCCCGGGAGCTCAGCTCACAGAGCTTTCTGTGTGCCGCTAGGCAGAGGCCCTTACCCTGTAGAAGATGGGCAAGGAGTCCCAGGTGTAGGGGTAAGCGAAGGCAAGGATGCGGAGCACCTTACAGAGCCTGGGTTTCTGGACTTCAAGGAACCTAAATCAGGCAAGGCAAGGGGGAAGAAACAGAGACTCGGTAAGTTACACTCTGCACACATTTCGGACCACAAGGGCGACCACAGAGGCAGCGTTCCTCCACAGCCGCTGCCCCAGGGCCGAAGGGCCGCAGCCCACAGCCTCGGCCGCTTCTCCCCCACCCACGCCAGCGGCTGGGCCTCAGATGTGCAACGACCTTGGGGATCCACCCTGCTCTGGGGAGCGATGGAGCACACCCAGGCCAGGAGGCGGCCCCAGGCGAGGTCACTTAACTGCCAAGGAGCCCAGTGACCACCGGGCACGTGTGGAAGAGGGAGGGCGAGCACACACTAACTAGTTAGTGGGGGTCGGCGGTTACTGTGCAGGAGCCCCCAGTGCACTGGCTATAATGACTTCCAGAGACTCCTGGAATATTCAATAGCACACACAGGGGAAAGTGAGCAAACATGAAGTGTTCCCTGCCTTTCAGCACCATCCTACTCACTCGCCTCCATCTAAAGGCAGAGGAAGTGAACGCTCGAAGCAGGGGTGCTGGCCCCAGACTCAGCACCCCCTGGGGGGGGCTGCTGAGAGCGTGGGCCGCCAGGAGGGAGGGTAGAACCTCTACGCCAAATGCAGCCCTGAACCGAGGTTTGGGCACGAGGATGCTCAAGGCCAGTGGGGGCCAGATGCCCGCCCCCGTGGTGCCCACCCAGGCAGTGTGGATAGTCAGGGCGCCTGTGGTCTATGTGGTAACGGAGGCACTCGGGCCTCCCAGACCTCGGGCCTCTCATCATGCTGCCCCTCAGCAGCGGAGTCTGTGTCCTACCTTGCTCCCTACCTCTGTTCCACAGACTTCTGTCCAGCCTCCCACCTGCCCCTGCCCCCCAACCATGGGCTGCCACTCCCTCCATCCCAACCAGACCCAGTCTCTGGCCAGGGTGTCCATGTTTCCTGTGAGCTGGTGCAGTGATCTGATAACAAACTCCACTGTGCCCCAGCTTTGGTGTGGGACTCCCCCATCTGTGTCCTGGGCAGGTCTGGACACTGCATGCACTCAACTCAAAGAAGTGTCTGCCAGGTGGGTGTGTTCTGCCCAGCCCTGGGGGCATCTAAGCATGTGAATTCCTGATCTGGGTAAAGGCAGCCTACCATGGATCGAAGAAGCCCCATGTGCTCCAGGGACAAGCTCCAACTTGACTCAAGCCCACCGGCAAGTCTCTCCATCCCTCCACCCCTGTGGTAAACCCAAGCAGCACATGGAGAAGGAAGAGAAACTCAAGGAGGAGGGAGAGAAATGAGGAGCCTCAATTCATCTCCTCCCCCACACAATGACCCCAGCCTTGCAGTAAACCACAATCCCCAGGAGGTCAGGCTGTGATTTCATTCCAGAACCCTGGCCAGAGATTCGAATTCTGCCTTAGCCCTTTGTGACCCCGTGACCCCAGTGACACAACTCTGTGCACCCCAGAGTCCCCATGTATAACACAAGCGCACCTGTACACTCTCCAGCTTGTATAAGGATTCAGTGAAATGCTACTCACACAACCATACAGCATAGTATAACACTCACTAAATAAATGGCAGGCAGTTTTCAAATGTGTGTTATAGAATCCATTCTCTCCCCCTCCCCAGCTCAAAGTGATTTTGAACCAGAAAGTCAGAACAGGAGGGAACAGATAGATTCTGGATGATTTGCCTTAAGTCAGATGAGCTAACCATAGGCAAAGCTAGGATTCGGGCCCAGGGTCATCCGGCTTCCACCTTTCACATCCCCATCCCTCTAGCAGGCTCCACACACTTCAGACCACTGTCCAATCCTCACCTATATCCCCCTCTGCCCCAAGGGGCAAATGGAGCACATCCGTGAAGCAGGGCCGGTTCCAACGGCCTTCTCAGTATACCCCACTGGCCCTGCTCCACCATGCAAGCCCGCACCCTCCTTGCCTGTACACTGCCACCACTTGTCCTGGGTTAAATGAGGCTCACTATTAAAGCAAGCTCTTTCTGTGGCCACTTACACAGGAAGCAAGCTGGCTTTGGCTGGCGAGGGCCATCCCCCAAAGCATGGATTTCCTGTGACTTGAGACAAAGTGCTTCCCCAGGGGTAAACGAACCAGCCTCTCCAGCTGCCAAGCCGAGTCTACAGGGGAAAAAGGAGAAAAGGCACAACAGACAAGAGACAGCAACAGAGAATCAAAGGCAGAGGGTCAACAGCTAGAGAGAAGGGCTGCCCACTAAAGGTGCAATTCCATGTCAGGCCACAAGGTGTCGCCAAAGTCAGAGATTCCGAGGAGGGACAGGGCCTCAGGTTCCTCGGAAGCCCTCTGGGCCCAGGTCTCCAATTGGGGACTTGCCAGGAATGACAGTCTCTGCACCCCAGGTTAATTTATAGGGAGTCAGGCCTCTTCCACTTAGAACCAGACTGGCAGGAAACACTGAATTTCAGGAGAAGCCTCCATCCAGAGAAGATGGGTGCAATACCAGCCTGTTTTAAACCCTGATAAGTCTTGTCGCCACAAAGCCAAAAGGATTACTAAACTAATTCTGGGACTGGGGCTTGAAAATAGCGGGCCTTTGGAAGCATTCTGCTGCAGAGGTTTGTGTGTGTGTGTGTGTGTGTGTGTGTGTGTGTGTGTGTGTGTGTGTATGCGTGTTTACAGCTGTCCTGATTTTCTGAGGGGCCACTCACAGGTACACAGGCCGCATTCCAGGCCTCAGCAGCACTCTGTCACCTTGCTGAGCCCTCTGACTCCAGATATGTCCGAGAACTTTATCTGCTAACTCCCCGCCTACAGCTTGCCTTCCAAACCCCTTCCAGGACTGCTCCATGATGTCTGGCACGCACTGTGTAACTCACGACGCTGCCAGCCGCCCTAGGCTCTCGATGGCCCCGGGACTGAGCATATGGCGTCTGGCCACCCCTGCCCTGCTCCTAGGGCCACAGAGAAGACACGAGCTTTCAACACTACCGAACTAGACAGGGTCTCTGAAACATGTCCATTTGAACTAAACCCCATGGTGATAAAGACCAAAAACAGCGCCCGGGCGCCCCACAGCTCTCTGCATGGACGCCTTTGTGGCATCTGTTGTGATGGAATGGATGCCACCGAGACCGCGACTTTCAAGCAAGCATGTAATGTGAAACTATGAATGAGGGTCCTGGCCCCCTATACTGGGGGAGAAAAAGGTGGTTTCTATTACTCCTGACTGCCCAAGGGGCTGAGGGGACTGGAGGAACAGGCAGAGTGGACTGGGGGAGGAAGAAAGCGAGGAGAGAAATTTGGAGGAAGATACCAAAGCACTAACATTGCAGAATGCCCAGAAGAACCTGCAGGCCCTTTTCTAAGGTTCAACCCTAAAGCCCAGAGAGGGCAGTGACTAGCCTGAGGCCACACAGCAAGCCTGTGGTCTCTAGGACTGCAGATGGCCCTCCCCTGCTTCTCTGGATGTCCATCAGAGTCCATCTGGGTACAGTCATCTTCCTCATTCCTTGGACACTGAAGATGAAGACAGGGAGTGAATACAGAAGACAGGCCTTCGAGAACAGGGAGACCACATCCAAGAGAAGGAAAGAGGACAGGTGCGAATTAAGCGGAAGGGTCCCACAGCAAACGGCAGTCCCCTTCTGGGCTCCAAAGATGGGGTGTCCATTTCTCCTTTCTGTCCCAGCCAGCTCACCCCAGCCCCCACCTCTGCAGCTGTGAACACCATGGAAGCCTTCAGGGTATGGAAGCTGAGTCCACGGAATTGTCTCCCTAGGAAGATTATTGTCTTTAATGAGCACCAGGTCAGTCCACAGGAGGATGCAGGAAGACACTTCCGCTCCCCACTCCTCCTCTGGGGCTTCTTTCAGACCTTTTCCCATCTGAGCCTTATAGCCTCTGAGCTCCTGATGCTTCCTGGTTTCATCCCCCTCTGCTCCCCAAGCCCTCACTCTTGTCCAGGTTGCCCACTGCGTACAGCTAAAGTGGCCAGCCTTCCTCAACACTCGTCTTCATGCCACTTCTCAGAGCATATCTAAGTAGGTCTCGTTTTGCACCATCATTATTTGCTTACATTAGACACTGTAATGCTACACTCCAAAGGCCACTTCCTAATGCTACACTCCAAAGGCCATTTCCTCGCTCTTTCGAGGAGTGATGCTGGGCTTTTTGGAGGTCTGCAGACTGCCTCCCCTATGTAATGGGCACTCCCTGAGGGCACTCCCTGAAGGCAAGGACCTCACTCCCCCTGGTGTTCCCAGAACATTTAAGCAACTTGACTTGTGTGGCTGCATAGAATGGGTAGGAGGAAGCATGGAGGGGTGGGTAGATACATGAATGGAGAAGCCCCAAACCTAAGCATTCAGAAATTTCCAGGCCAAGCTGTCCTGCCAAACAAGTTTGCCCAGCAGTCCCAGGCATGACACACCCACGGCACCTATTTATTGTATCTCAGAAATCAAGGAGAAAAAAATCCACGTGGGTGTCTCACAGGTGATGAGGGAAGTTTAAAAAAAAAAATGTGCTCAGTGCTGCACAAATGTGTTGTGGGAGTTCAAGGAAGGCAGTGTTGGACAGGGAACTCGGACACTTTCTCCCACACTCACCAAGCTTTCCCTGCCCCTTCAGCTCATGGCTCTGATCCTAAATTCCAAACATCAGAGCTTATCAGACAGCACAGCTCCAGCGTGTCCCGTCCAGGCCCCAGGCCCTCCAGCAGGGCATGCTTGCCTCTCGGGGTGTCACCACTGGCTCCCCTCACCCGGTCACCTGCTGTACCCTTGCAGCTTGACCTAGCACAGAGGCCGTATCAGAGAGAACTTTCAATCACCAGAGTCCTTGAAGGCAGGGGGAGCAGGAAGTAATAACCGCATATACTGATTTCTATTTCTACTCCCATGGCAAGGCCCAACCTCCCGAGTTTAAGGGAGTCCTGTGACTTGCAGAAGGAGAGAAGCATTTATGCTCCAGCCTGGCCCTTCCAGGGAAGAAGCCACACAATGCCAAGAGGTGAGACTGCTGTTAGAAACAGCACACCCCCAGAAAGCAGCTCCAGGCTCCCAGACCGCCTCGGGACAGGCCAAGTGGGAGGCAGGTAGGGACAAGCCCTCCTGAGGCTGGTGGACAATCTAGCCTCCATGTTGAAAGAAAACCAGTTTGCCAAGATTGGCAATCTTGTTACCGCTCCCTGGGTTCCATAAACTCTCACATTCATGCGAAGGAAGTTGGAGGCAAAATTCCTTCCCAAGCAGCTGCAGGTGCACGCTGCCCCATTTTTCCTGGGGTGAGGCAGTGGAGGGCTGCAGCAGTGTCCCACAGGCCCAACGGGGAGGGCCCACGGCTCACTGGAGGCTCAGCGGGCCGCCCTGAGGATGCAGGTCTGACCTGCCAGCTGGCCTGGATGCATTTCCTGACCCACCACTGTTAGCCCATGGCTGGGGAAAAGCCCAGCACCTGGGACCCTCCAGCCAAAACCATCACTCCAAACCACCATTTGAGAGCTTTCCTAAGTCATTTAGGGAACCAGAGATTTGGGGCAGTCACTTTTATGCCAAGTTGCAAAACAAATGTCCCTTGTATGCACACTCCAATGGGGTTATTTTAAGTGAAAGGGGGAAAAATTAGAGGGAACTGGAGCTAGTGAGCTGGGTGGACTCGTAGCCAAGGGCCCCCATCCCAGGGCTGGGTTAGATAGACTCTGTCAGCCAGTACCCTGGGTATCTGGGATCCTTTAGTAAGGTGGACATGCCACCCCATTTCATAGATGAGCAAACTGAGGTTCAAGGGGTCAAAGCAACCTGCCCAGGAACAGGACTAGGGAATTAAGAATTTCAAGGCAGCAGAGCAGTAAACCAAGTATGATGCCCTCCTGATGGGGGTGTGGAAAGCAGATACGGGCACTGGGAGCCACTGTGCAGACGTGTGCCCACAAAGCAGGTCCTATCCCACCACAGGACGCCCATGTGAAACTGGGTCCCAGGCCCGGAGTGCCTGCCCCTGAGCCTACCTCTTCCGCTGCCCCCTCCCCCCATCTGAGGGAGGTAGCCAGGTACCTGGAGTAGCAGGACAGGCCTGTGCTGACGATGGTGTTCAGCACGGCCAGGCTCACGTAGCAGTCGTGGAAGGTGGTGCTCACCAGTGCTTCGGGGAACACGTACGCAGAGTAGGCAATGGCTGAGCCTGGGGAAGAAAACCAGCCTTGGCAAGAAGTGGGGACTCTGCACCGTCCACACTCCTTGGGAAGGCCAGCACCAGCGTCGGGCAGAGTCCTTGTCACCCCCGGACATGAGCTGTCCTGGACCTCCGGTCCTTTCTCTCCTACACCCTATCTTGACTCTTAGTAGGCACCCCACACAGCTCTGAGGGCTCGACGTACATCCACACACACTGTCTTTACAACCACCAGCCATCCTGCACTTCAATGGAGACACAGAGAGGTTTAGTAGCCCGCCCCGGGGCCACACAGCTAGAAAACAGCCAGCCAAGCTTCAACCCCAGGCAGGGCAGCCCTGTTCCCACTATCAGCCCTGGGCTCGTGTGTAGCGCAGTCTCAGCCTGCATGTGCCCCAGCGTCCCCATGGGGTGGCCCGTGTTGTGAGAGGGAGGCCCTTGCCCAGGTAGGTGTGGCCCAGGTGAGACGCGGGCGGAGGATGGGCCAGCTGGGTGGCTGGGCTGAGCCGCCGGCCTCAGTGTGTTTATTTAACATCCGTGAGAGTAGGGCTATCTAAGAACCTTCTAGACACCTGTCAGCCACAGCTTTTATCTGAAGGGATAGGGAAACCATGGTCCTTTCCCAGAGGGCCTGGTGTGCCCCAACCTAGAGAGGGGTCTGGGCCACACGGCCTCTCCAGACACCCTCAGAGCGAGGTGTCTTCTGGGAGAGGCAGCCCACAGGCCTGAGGGAACAGGCCTAAGGCCCCCTGTTCTTCCAGAGACTCAGAGAACCTGGGAAGCCTAGTCAGGGCTGAAACCGGCCTCAGGCCATGCAACTCTAACCTCCACCTTTGATCCTCTGTGGTGGGAGAGGCCACACACCTGGCAGAGGAGACTGAGAACCATGCTCCTGCTGCAAGGCCGCAGGCTCCTGGGAACTGCCCCCAGCAGCACCCACTGGCTCTTGTCTCTGCCCAGCACTGTGGGAAGGTTCTCATCTGGACAGTGCGAAGGAAAACGGGGTCCAGTGGGAGCCAACCTCTGTGGGGACAGAGGAGGGAGCAGATCTGGCCAGAAACTGCAGGGAGGCAAACAGATCAGCCCCACTGGGCTGGGGATTCTGACAGGTACCTGAGAGCCACGAGGGCTCTCTGGGGGGCAAGGACATGAGAGCAAAGAAAGCAAGCTTCCTCTCTTGGGCAACAGGGAGCCATGGAAGGTTTCTGAGCAGGATGATGGTCAAAACCTGAAACTGCATAGAACGGACTCAGGGAAACATCTAGAAAGCAGGGAGGTCACTAGCGCAAATGCTACCTGCCAGGAACCGTGGGACTCCCTGGGGGAGGGGAGGAAAGATGGGGAGAGTGGGACTGCAGCCCATGGAGTTGGGGGTCCAAGGAGGAAGCCACTGGCTCTCTCAGCTGAGCTTCCTCCCATGTGCATGAACACCCCCTCTTCAGACACGGGAACCGCTCCCAACAAGGAGCAAAAAGGCCACAGCCTGACAAGTGGAGACCAGAGCTCCATGGGGGTGGGTCTGGGTGGGGGTCCTGGAGGATGCCTGAGCAGGGGCCCCTGAGACTTTGGAGCTGAAGGGAAGGAAGGAAGGAGTCCCAGGGGAGCAGCCTGTGTGGAGGGAGCAGGGGAGACCACTGATGAGGGGTCTCTGACACCAACAGCCTGCCCATGGTGAAGGGAAGCTCTCAGGCGGCAGGCAGGGGCGCTGCCCCATGGCAGCTGTGTGAGCCGGGTCACCGCCCTGCCCTCCTGGTGATGCCTGACTCTCACCATAGAGCAGAGAGGACGCCATCCCTGCCCCAGGGGACTCTGTCAGGGCTAGTGAGATAATCGAGGCACGATGACCCTCGGGGGCTTGCTAAGTCCTGCGTGCTTCACATACAAATCTTGCTTGGTATCATTACACTCCTAATAGGAAGATGTTAGAAAATCACCCAGGTGGTGCTGGGCGGGACCCCTAAGCACAGGCTGTGCCAGCTGCCCCCACAGGCTGTGCTGTGCTGCCCAGCACGGAGCCTGCCACGCAGCAGGAGCTCATCTCCATGCTATGTCCTCCTCCCTCACAGACATGCACACCCACGTGCACACAGGCATTCACGGTGACCTCCCTTAGCCAGATTCCCTCTGGTTAAGTGATCAATTGCAGTATAAAAATGTGATGTTACTCCGCCAGATGCCTGCCTCGTGGAGGTCTGGGCAGAGATGCAGCACTGCGGAGCCACGAGGCTCGGGAGCATGGACTTCACGCCCATGTCACTGCGGGGTCCCTGAGAGGTCTGAAACAGGAGGGGCCAGAAATCTTCCAGGGATGGGGTGGAGCCGGGAGGCAGAGAGGAGGCCACCGTGATGGTGAGAAAAGAAGTGTGTGGAGCCTAGGTGAGCCAGTGCAGATGGAGTGAGCCCCAGAACATTCCAGAGACTCAAGTGAGCTTGCTGACTGATCAGATAGGGCAGTGGAGGTGGGGAGGGTAAGAATGGGGGAGGAAGGAGAACTTGAGCATTATTTATACAGGTGTCTCACTTGAGGGGGGTTAATGTGAGGCGTGGGTGGGGGTTGGAGGATAAAGTAAGGGCGTATCTGGGAGCGCCTTGCTCAGAGATGTCTGAGGTGGCCCAGGCACAGGGGAGCTGCACTGTGCAAGGCTGGGTCCTGACTCGCCCACCTGTGAGGCAATCAGAGGAAGGAGATTATAGACAGTGCGGGGAGAGCTGGGAGGCATGGAGGCCACAGAACCCAGAGGAGCAAGGAGGAGCCCTTAGAAGCTACAGAGAGGCCCAGAAGAGCCAACCCACGAAGCCCAGGACTTCAGGGTGTCAGGGGGACCACGAGGTATTGGCAACCACAGCTTTGGTGAGTGATGGACAGCTGAGCACTGAGGAATGGCGGTGCGGTGGTAAAGGTTCTGTGTGTGTCCACGCATGTGTGTGTGCATATGGGTGTGTCCGTGCATGTGTGTGTGTGCACACACCTGTGTGTGTGTGTGTGTGTGTGTGTTCAGCACTCCCTTATCAGCCTGGCTATGTTCCAAGGCCCCCAGCAGATGCTTGGAACCATGGATAATACCAACCCCTATATATTTTTTTTCTAATACATACGTACCTATAATAACATTTAATTTACAAATTAGACAAGGTGAGAGATAAACAACAGTAACAAAGTACAATAATTATAACAATATACTCTAGTAAAAGTTATATGAATGTAGTTATCTCTCTCAAAATACACATACCCGGACATCACATTTTCATACTGCAATTGATCACTTAACGAGAGGGAATCTGGCTAAGGGAGGTCACCGTGAATGCCTGTGTGCACGTGGGTGTGCATGTCTGTGAGGGAGGAGGACATAACATGGAGATGAGCTCCTGATGGATTCTGTCTTGGGCAAGGGAAGATGGTGCCTTGGCATTTGCCACCAGAACAGCATCAGGAAGGAGGCGGAGGCTGGAACTGCAGTGCTTGTACAGAGGCAGACACCCAGAACAGGAGGAGAGAAGAGGATGTCAGAATTTTAAAAAACAAAAGGGGCCCTCCCTGATGGCGCAGCAGGTTAAAGCACAGCACTAAGAAGCTGAAACCACTTCTGCATGAGTTCGATTCCCGTCTGCCCTGGAGGAGACCACATGGCGTGGCAGACCTCTCCTGACCCGCCCGCTGCTCCCCTCAGCAG